GATTTTCTTCATTTTATCTTTAAATCTTTCTCTAGAGTTTATTTCTATGATCATACTTTAATTTTGTTCCCTAAGTATTTTTTAGAGGATCCTGTTCCTTCTTCATAAACACAGACTCTTACTTCTCTGTGGGTATTAATGATAGTTTCTTGGAGTTTTTGTCTCTCTTCATAATCTGTTTCTTCGTTAATTGAATCTATTTATTGGTTTTGTCTCTGCTTTTCATATTAGATGCTTGCCTCAAATATCTGTTTTCCATAGTTGTCTGCTCCTATTTAAGACTACGGTACTAAAAAGACAACTGAAGTTCTTTGCCCATGGTACTCAATATTGTGGGCTGATCTGGTTGGGTATTTTGTTGGAGAAACCTCTATTATCAGTATCTTTAGGTCTTTTCTCTTATGCTGATACGAATTCCTGAGAGCTTGAGGGTATAAATCTAGCTGCTACTGTTTTGTAGCCAAGAAAGCAAGCTGGGAGACTTATAACTCGATACGTAAACCCTGTCTTAATTATTTCAGTACTACTCTTTCCCTCAACTTGTGGGACTTCAGATTTAAATCTCAGGTCTGCCCGTGACTAGCTGTGAAACCTTAGGAAAGTCAGTTAACCTCTCTGTACCTGTTTCCGTATCTGTAAATGACAATGTGATATCTCCTACCTCATAAAATTGTTATGACGATTGAGCCCATTTATGTAGAACTCTTGGAAGAGTATCTGGATCATGGTAAATACTATAGGTGCTAGTTATTGACATTCTTATTTGGGGGTAAAAGTGGAGGTAAACAGAGTGTTCATTTAATCTTCCGCATCTGCCAGGAGTCTACCTTCCTAGTCCAGCTCTACAAGTCTCCTGTAGCCTCACTGCCTACCCTACCCCACAACTTTTCAGAAACACACTGATCATATCTATTCTAATTCACTTCATGAAAGAATAATCCCCAAACTAGAACAGTCAGATGATCAAATTTGAGAGGAATCTAAAGCTGTTTGTTTTAAATGAGTGCAAGCATCCAGAACCAGTTATTCATTTAATAAATATTTTCCAAGAACCTATCATATAAAGGCATTGTGTTAAGTGCCAGGAATGCCCTTAAGGAGCTTACAGACGAGCAGGGATAGGAAAAGTAAGTAAAATGCAATTACAGTACAGTGTGATAGGTGATATGAAAAGGTAGAACAGATAACATACTGGCTTAAAAAAAGTTTCCTAGTGTAAGTAACCATGACTAATAAGTAGCACTTAACCTGGTGAAGTGGAGGTGGGGGTTCAACAGTGGGCATTTCAGGAGGAGATGCATGTGTTAAGGCACAGACAGAAAAAAAAGAGCAAATGTGTAGATATGCAGATAGTTCAGTACAGCTGGAGCACAGAACACGCAGGGAATAAAGAATGAGGTAGCAGACTGAAGAGGTAGGCGGGGGCCTGATCTCAAGAGGTCTTACATTTTAGAAAGACAGTCCTTGCTGAAGTGCTGAGGTTGGTTCTGAGAGACGGTGAATTAAACAAAGCTAACCTGAGTCCCTTCTATCAGATTCCTTAGAACTTTTGTTAATATGTACTGTGAATCTGTGAGAGGATTAAGGAGCATTAAAGCCCTTCCCAAACTTATCTGACCATTAATACACGGACTCCGTTTTCTCTGTACACCCTCTATTAACATCTCTTGAGACAGCAGCATTCCCAGATTGAAGTCTGGGTAATGCTACCCTTGGGAGAACACAAACAAGCGTAACAGGCACTCACTATTTAGTGCCTAACAGTCACTCCCTTCTTCCTTGGGGCACAACTTGATTGCGTCTGAAGTGGTCTTCTCCCCAGCTCCAGGAGTAAGTGCTGACTGGTCCAGACTGGTCTTGGCAGTCCCATTCCCCTTGGTGGTGGCTGCTGCAGACATCTGCATGTGGTGGAACTCTGGCCAAGGAAAGGAAAGGGGGAATGTGCTGGAGGGATCTGGGGAAAGGCTTATATAACGAGACACAGGCAGAGACAGTGTCTGTACATGGTCATGTCTGCAGGTAATGA